CCTCCTCTCTCTTTTTTTCATTTCCTTCCTCCCCTCCTTTTCTTTCTTGCAATGGAACAGTGATTGAATTGAAGGAATATAGGAACTGGGAGCAAGCCATAAGGAGTTTTGATTTTCATCATGGTGTACTACACTGTCACTGAGCTTGTTTGCTGGGCCAATGTCTGAGGTTCCATGTCTAACTCTAAAAGTTTCTGTTTACCTGCTCTACATGCCTACTTTACACTCCCTATGCAGCACCATTTCCATGTCCTACATGCCATTCCCCACCCATTTGATTGGTGAATCAATCATTACATACACTACTAAAATACTTACCTTATTGGTTTTCGTTCTTGATATTTAAAAGTTTCTGCAAAGTGCAAACTACTTGAATTCCGGCATATTTTCCCCTTCTGTTTTCTTTATTCTTTATTCCCTTTTCATCCTCTTTTTTTTTCCTATTCCCTTTGCGTGGGCAAGTTCTCAATTTTGAACCCTGTACACTTCTTCAGCTCGAAGATAGTGCTATCCGTTTGAACTCCGCCGGTCTTTTCCTAGCGCCCATATTACCTATTTTCAAATACCAAACTTGGTCCGGGAGGGCGAGTTAGGGTACACACTGGCTCGGCTGTAGTGAAGACTCGGCAGGTCTCCCACTCTCTCTTATTAACAAATTGTGTATTGAAATGAAATAGGCCGTGTGCATGCCCAGCTTTTACTCGACATGATAGTGCAGCCCCTCCCCAACGAGGCCAAGTCTTCAAGGCATCATTGCCCAGGAAATTCTCGTTTTGTTGAGTTTTGAGCTCGTCAAAGAGTTTCTCAACAGTCCTTTGATATCACGTCAAAATGTTCTACTTAGACTTTCCCTTGGGACCAAGAAAGTTTGGTTTTCGAAAATTTCAACGATGAGACATGCACGCCTAATTATATCGAGTTTTTAGGCATATATGTTTAATGAGTACTATGGATACAGGTAATGGGCTCGAGATAAGCTGGAACGGTTAGGGGATACTGTGTAATGCGGGAGGGAGAAGGACAGAAGTGAAAAACCAAAAGACCGGAAATGAAGAAAAAAATGAGAAAAGGAAAGAAAAAAAAAAGTAGGGATACATGCCATGTATGCGTAAGTCAAGTGAAAGATAACGTAAGTATGAGAGATTCTTTTTTACTAGTAACGACCGTGCAAAAAAGGGAGTTTTTTTGGGTAAATAAGTATGAGTATACCATGGATTTTAAGAATTTTTTTTTGTTTGGGACGAGTGCCAAGGTAATTGAAAAGAAGGCTTATTAGGGATTAGAAGAAGAGGTCGGTGAGTGAGTGAACGAAACGAACAGAAATGAGAAAAAGGAAAAGAAAAGATAGATAAACGAAAGAATCAAGAACGCTAGAAGAAGAAAAAGTATATAGAGGAACAAGTTTGACGAGGTGAATGGAAAAGCTAGGGCGAAGGATGATGGGGAATTGGGGGTGAGAGGAACTGAGACGCCAAGCTACTAGCAAAAAGCTCGGATCTACTAACTAGTCTTGCAACTCGAGCTTGGGTTTGTTAGATCCCTTGGTCCATACCGATAGCTTATCGAGTCCGAGTCCAAAGTTGGAGGAAACGTTCATCCTCGTTATAATTCTAGTACGAGAGGATCAATATATCATTTTACAGGTCCAAAGTAAGAAAATAATAAAAACAACGGACCTTCTCAACCCCATCCCAAGTAATCTCCTCTCCGCCCTCCTCTTCTTCCCTTCCTCAATCGCCCAAAGCCATTTCTCCAAAAACACTTTTTCGAGTCTCAAATCGGTTAGTTTTTGTCTTTGTTTTTCCTCTCTTCCGCTTCCATCCCTCGTCGACCCGTCCGTCCCGGTCCTCTCTGCTACATCTAAATCCGACTCCGACTGGGTCTGGGACGACTCCATACGCGAAATCAAACGGGCGAGCTTTTCCTCGACTGCTCCCAACCTCGCTCTCAAATCATCCGTCATATCAGGTCCAGGTCGGGGTAACAAAACCTTCTTCGACCTCCCTCCCATCATCCTCGCCATCGTCTCCCTATACCCCTCCTTCCCAGCCCCGTTCCGTTGATTCCCATCCCCATTCCCATTGGACAACAACCCCAAAGCCCGAACAACCTCCTCCCACCCCTCGCCGGCATCCGCAACTTTCCTCCATTTCTCTCTCTGAATCTCTCTAGCTTCGAGTTTGATTTCGAGTTGAGTTTGTTGAATCTTGAGATGGCGTGTTGACGAGCTTGGATGAGACGGGTTGGGATGAGGTGGAGTGGGAGGTCGGAGGTGTATTTTGGTTTGATTTGAGAAGGCTCGGACGGAGGTAATGAGGATGGGGACGGAGACAGGGAGGGATATGCTGTGCAAAACGGACAAATATTATTTCCGACACTTTGGCCGTTTTTTCAGCATTTTCCGAACCTTCTGTTAGTGTTTCCACACTTATAGTGTGACATGTGACATATGCCCATTTCGAACTTCTTCCTTTATTTCGAACTCTTTGATTTCCACCCGAACTTTGAGCGTGATGTGACATGGTCACCTCTCCGAACTTTGCAGCTCAATCTCCGAACATTCAATCAAGGTTCCCAAACATTCTTTGGCTACATATTCATAGTTACTGGTTGATAATTGGTTAATTTTGTATAAATAATTTTAACCTATTTAGTATACTTGGGAATTATTGGTATCTATTTATCACTTACCAATAAGGGTCTGCTTGACATCTTGAAAAAAATCTTTTAACTCCCATTGGTAACATTATTGTGCGTTTGTCTATTAATTCAACTTATATGGGACTACTTGAGAATAGCATGAAATCATTATAAATTCACTGACTGTGATAGTGACTGACAGAATACCGTTGTGAAGTAGACCCATTGCTTTGCATATGTCCACACAATAAGATTGTATCTTCCCAGCTTATGATGTCTTTCAGATACTATTTCATTATCATTCTTGATGTGGTTGCACTGGTAACAATTTTGTATAATTCCAAGGAATTACAGAAGAATTACAGAAGGTTTATATATTTCCACTGTAATTCCAAATTTTACAGTAATTCCTAGCATAATTCCACTGTAATGTTTCTGTAATTTTAAGGAATTACACAAATTTGCACCCAGTGTTATTAATTTGAATTTATATTGTAATCATTACAATCACAAGCCTGAAGGTTCAACCATAGCAGTTTCTATTCCTCTTATGTTTTTACATGCTTTGTAAGTCTTGAGGAATTAAACCCAAGATACATTGAAGCAATCTTTTCACAGACATGACCTAGGTCAGAGCAGAAAGCTCAATATAGCAGTTCCATTTTTCAGTCAATAACTTTTGGCTGGGGTTGCCACCTGGCACCAAGATGTGATAGCATTCAAAGATCTGTAAAGAATGGGGTAATTGAGGTAAAGGACAAGGAAAGGAAAAGTGGTATAAGTATTGGTATAGCATAAAAGAGATTTTACAATCCCATATGGCAATGACATATAAGTAAGAGACCATTGCCTATGTGCAATAAGTTCCTTGCTCTTCCCCTTGAACTTTCGAAGTTAAAGGAGAGAGCCTGAGAGTGAAACCAAGTACTTAATCCCATTTGACTTGAAATAACAAATGAACACATAGCAATGTTGCCAATGGGAATTAAAACTATATTTTTCAAGATGTCAAGCAGATTCCTATTAACAAGTGATAAATAAATACAAATAATTTCCAAGTATATTAAATAGGTTAAAGGTATTTATGCAACTTATCAACCAGTAACTATAAATACATAGCCAAGGAATGTTTTGGAACCTTGGTTGAATGTTCGGAGCTTGAGCTGAAAAGTTCGGAGAAGTACCCATGTCACGTCACGCTCAAAGTTCAGGTTGAAATCAAAGAGTTCGAAACAAAGGAAGAAGTTCGAAATGGGCACATGTCACATGTCACGCTGTAAGTGTGGAAACACTAACAGAAGGTTCGGAAAATGCTGAAAAAACGGCCAAAGTGTCGGAAATAATATTTGTCCGTTTTGCACAGCATAGAGGGAACAGCCAAAGCGTCGATAATAGAACCCGTCTTGAGTCTAGAAATAACAGGACAAGCATTCACCATATCCCTAACCACACCCAAACTACATCCAAACAACCTCAACTCGTTCACTCCTTCCAAACAACCCTTCCTAACCCCAGTCGAACTCAAATCGAGAAGAAACTCTTGTTCAATCGTAGATGGAGAGATGGAGGGAGGGTAATGGAAGTGGATGGAGAGAGAAGAGACTTGGGGAGGGAAACAGCTTGAGTGGAATTTGTAGTAGGTGAAGAGGGAAGGGGTGGTGCAGGAGTGAAGATCGAGAGAGACGGTGTGGAGGTAAGGTGTTAGAGGTGATAGGGGTGATACGTGGATAGATTTGGAAGGAGGAGAGGTAAGACAACGTAACAAGGAAAAGATGGAAGACCCGATAAGAGAATGCTCGTAGTCCTGTTTTTGAACGAACAACTGAGAGGGGTGTTTCGTCCCGACGTATTGAAACGTGAGCGAACGACAGCGTTGAGGCATTAGCGAGGCGAGCGAGGAACATAGGGAGAACGTCGAGGAGGAGAAGGAATACGAAGCGCTGGTCCGGAATCGCAACGGTTTGGATTTAGATTTTTGTTGGGAGGAACGGTGGAACTGGAGAGCATCGCAGAGATGGAAAGCAAAGGCGGGAGTGGGAATGTAGACGTCTCGTGAAGCGATAGAGAGGAACAGAGAAGACCAGCAGCGGTTGACGAACAGAGAGGACACAATGAACGTCGCTCGGTCTTGGGGACTGACTTGCAGCGAGTCGTCGGACCAGAACAGCAAAACGATTTCTTCAACGAGTTCGATTGGCAGACGAGGCGAATCCATCTTTGTCTGTCGTCCTCTTCCTGTCTCTTCTTTTATACGTCTTCATCGAGAAAAGACAGGAGACTTGTTCCAGACCCCGTGGCTGTGCCGTTGTTGTGAATGACGTCAGAGTGTCTTGCAAAAGCTTATAAACACATCGCACCACTACACCGTTCGGGAATCGAACCCGAGCAGCTTGCTTGAAAGGCAAGCATAATAACCACTTCGCCAAATCGGTGTTCCCTTGTTCGGTGATAATACAATGTCAATCGTTGGAGGCCCTATTACAAGTAAAGACCCTTTCCTCTTTGTTTCGCACGTCTCTTATCTCCGCATGTTTCTGTTTCTGTTCAACAACCCAGCCTTAAATGTATGAGAGACTTTTCAGACAAACCCCTCGTTTAACACCTCCGTTTCACTGGAATATTGGATGTGGGACATATACCTAATCAAGTAGATGTGGGCCATCGCTTTGCGTGGCAAGTACGAGGCCCAGTAGGTATTAATGGGCTTTTACATATAATACAATCTTGGCATTTTTATGTTGAAAATGATTTAAATCATTTTGAGGGGAAGGGTTACAAGGTTGTGGTAATGGATTGACAATCCCATCATATAACCACTGATTTTCAGCATGGAACATTCTGGTCACATAGTGCCCTTGACCAAAATAGATGATCCCTGACATAAAATAATTACTGCTCTGGTTATCTACTTGTACATTTATTGTTTTATTCACCATTGTAAAGTTTTCAACAGCCTCATATGGAATAGCCATTAAGAAAAATTCAGGAAATCGTGTAAATTGATAGATAAGCTGAGGTATTTCTGTGCACAAACGACATCGGTTTGATCCAATCTCTACATACTGAGATGCCCAGCTTTGAGTAGAGCTATAAACCTGTGTAAATGTTTCCATCATGACCATAGATAAATGAGTCCAGTCTGAACGTATATGGCCATTACTGCATATTATCTTCTGTTTTAAGAAGGGTAGATCAGTCTGGAAAAGCTGTGTGATTACTTCCTCTACTGCTGCATATTCACCCAATTGAAACTTGTCTGGTCTTGTCATAATAAGTGAATTTCTTAAATTATTTCTTGCATGGTCAAGGTTATTAATTTCAGATTTCAGAGATTCAATAAGTTCAGCATAAATTAAAGATGTATTATTGGAACTTTCAAATTCAAATCCATTTCTGTGAGTAAGATAAACATGAAATAGTAACATAATCACAGAATCATATGCACAGCTGTTTTCCGACCAACTCAGAGTCTTATGATGGGATGGTAATGTGGAATCTGAGGCAATATTTCTATCACATAAAGTCTTTTGTTTCGTTGTTTCAGGTCCATTCTCATCAGGATTTGTATCAGATACGTTGCGCTTTTTGCTATAAACAATAGTCTCTTGAGCTTTTTCGAGTGTTTTAGCTGATTTGAAGTTTCCGGTTCTGTAAAGATTCTTAGACCTATCAGTATTCGCATATTATCTTCTGTTTTAAGAAGGGTAGATCAGTCTGGAAAAGCTGTGTGATTACTTCCTCTACTGCTGCATATTCACCCAATTGAAACTTGTCTGGTCTTGTCATAATAAGTGAATTTCTTAAATTATTTCTTGCATGGTCAAGGTTATTAATTTCAGATTTCAGAGATTCAATAAGTTCAGCATAAATTAAAGATGTATTATTGGAACTTTCAAATTCAAATCCATTTCTGTGAGTAAGATAAACATGAAATAGTAACATAATCACAGAATCATATGCACAGCTGTTTTCCGACCAACTCAGAGTCTTATGATGGGATGGTAATGTGGAATCTGAGGCAATATTTCTATCACATAAAGTCTTTTGTTTCGTTGTTTCAGGTCCATTCTCATCAGGATTTGTATCAGATACGTTGCGCTTTTTGCTATAAACAATAGTCTCTTGAGCTTTTTCGAGTGTTTTAGCTGATTTGAAGTTTCCGGTTCTGTAAAGATTCTTAGACCTATCAGTATTCTCTGTGGAGACAATTTTCCATGTTATTTGAGATTCATCTGATATTTCAAAGGGCTCTATTTCAGACCAAACAATGGCAGAGTGAATTTTTGGTGGTAAATATTGGATACCTTTCAGCAGTCTGAATTTCATGAGAACTGATGAGCGTGTTTCACTGACAGTTTCAGGTGGCATTTTTCCAAGATATCTCAGTCTAGTAATTTCATCAAGAAGCTCCAGTTCTCGCAATTCCTGTCGATAGCCACCATTTTTTAAACCACCAGTGATAACATCAGGATTAAATCCTTGAAATATCAAGGTCCCTGCTGCAGATGAGCTGCGAGAAAGGGATGTATACATAGCTCTAAAATCTCTACTGTTGTTAATATCAACAACATTCCAGATTCGTGTTTTCCCCTGTGAAGCATAATCTGTCATTGCAAAATTAGGGAGTACTTGAACCTGGGTACGAGAGACTTTTTTAAACGTATCATCAGATAACTTGCATTCAATTCTCACTGTTCTTTTAGTCATCGGAACAACATTTTCTGGAAGTCCATCAAATTTAACAGTGGAAGGTGGATTGTCAAGCTTGACAAATAATACATCAAGAATCTGCTGTCCATGCTGACCTTGTGATGATTTTCAACCATACACATGTCCTTCTTGTCCTTTTGTTATGCACAGCTCAGTGGCTCCATTATGTCTGATCATTACAGGCATCCCTTTACATATATCCAATCTACCTGGAATTTGCTGGTCATTATATGAGTGCGGTTGATTCCAAAGCTCTTTTTGAAGTGACATATTTAATAATCTTCTAGTAACCGTTCGTCTTTTTTTACCAGCAGCCCTTGTCTTATCCCAATCATCATATATTAATTCTTCATCATCAGAGTAAAAAGATGTCAAGTTTTGTTTTGTTTCTGCAGCAAATCTCTCACAACCCAGTTTATTAACAACATCCTTATGTCTATTATAGGTGAGAATGATTGATGTATTTCGAAAATTATCAGATGCAATTGAACGTGTTGCTTTTGTTGGATTGGAGATGAGACTACGCAGAAATGAAATGTCAGTCGATGTGCATGCTTTATAACGCATATTCTCAAGAGCTGTTCTGAATTTAGCATCATCATTAGATTGTGTTCTCTGTCTCATATTCTCTCTCAAGATGACTACGGTTGTAACTTGATGCCAGAGATGTTTACCAATACCCCTCTGTTGACCTGTACTTGAGGTTGGATCAAAACCAGCAGAATGACTGTAAAGTGCCACTCCTTCACCACCAATTGCTGGAGGGAGTTGGGCAAAGTCACCCGCAAAAATCATATTCATGCCACCAAAAGCCGGATCTGGTCTATTTAGTGCCTTTGCTAATTTTGCACTAATTTTATACATGTCCACACATGAGAGCATAGATACTTCATCCAGAAAAACATAATCAACTCCATCAAGACGAGAACAGACCTGCTCATTAGATACTGAATTAGAATAGCCTTCAGTCTTAGAATTTATTCCAAAAACAGAATGATAAGTAGAACCACCAAGTAATGCAGCTGCAGTACCAGTTGGTGCAACAACTATCATACGATGACTTTCTCCTTGAAGAGTGAAAAGTCATTTAAAGCCTTTAAAACCATAGATTTTCCAGTTCCACCCATGCCACCAAGATACATATTAAGTTGCTCAGTAAAAGGATTAACAGCATGGTTGGCTACAATATGGAAAGCTCTTTCTTGGTCTGCATTGAGTGCAAATTTTTTCACCTGTACATTAATCAAATTCTGGGTAACTTCAACAATAGATTTTTTTGTAAAGGCAAACTGATCCAGGACATCTACTTGATTAGGATACTTATTCAGTAGTTTATTATTTTTAGAGTCATTCCTTCTCTTCTGTCTTTCATTCAGAATTTCTTGCCTTTTTTTGCTTATTGCTAGATGCCATGAATTTACAGAGGTGTCGAGGGGTAAACCATTATCTTGAGGTACCATATCACATAAGTCAGATGTTGCTTCATGCCATCCAGCAGACCTAAGTATGTTGTCCATTTCTTTCATTTCAGTCTGTCTTTTTTGTTCATGAACACCAATTATATCAATTGTGGGATCAGCCAGAATATCTAGGTCACCATACTCTACCCCATCTTGATGATCTAAGACATTTTGTGCTAGAATGGGTTTTACCATTAGATTTCTCTGAGCATTAAAGTCATCCCGAGAATCTAAACATTCATATCTGAGTTGAAAATTATCCATGACTTGTTGGGACCTCTCATTAAACTTGTATAACATAAAACATTCATCCCATGTCTGATTTACTTGTTTCAAATCTTTCCCTGAGCGCCATGGCTTGAATAACACTAACATTGTCAAGCAATAGTATTCACGGTCACCTTTATCCTTCCTAGGGAGTCCTGGGCCAATGAAGTTGGGAACTAGTACATTTCTTTCACTCAAAAGCTTTATACCATGGGAATCTGCTAAAGGATGACCATATAGAAAGGGGAAAATGTTCTCAGGTAGATTATCTTTTGTTACAGGAATAGGGAATGAAGATCCTTCCATGTCAGATTCCTCAGCTTCTAACTGATTACTTTCCTCATCCATTTCAGCATCACTTTCACATTCCACATCTAGATCACAATCTGATTCAGTATCTTTGTTTTAATATTTTTTAGAAATGCTAACTCTTTCACAAAGTGTAACCCAATTGTACAAAGACATATTCTCAAGATCAGATGGTCTATAAATATAGTCATACACTTTTGATAGGCCAAATATTCTCCCATTTTTTCTAATTAACATCACTTTATGGTCAAGTTTCTGCAGCTCAGTTTGATCATTTTCCCAAGCATTTTGGGCTTCAGTTACATAACTTTTCCAATGGAAGGGCACAAACTTATGTGATGTATAGTGATCAGGCTGATCTAATAAGTACATACAAATCATTGGGGCACCGAGCTCCATACGGACAGATAACAAGTTGACCATTTGGGTAACTAGCCGACGCACCTTTTCCTGACAGGTTGTAAATCCACTAGTGAGTTCAGTGTTTCGTCTCAACACTGTTTGAATGACATCAAATATCACATGTGTATTCAAGCTCCACTTTGTGATATAGTCTGAGACATATGCAACAACTGCCTTAATTGCAGTTCCAGACAATAATGATGTGACATCGCTATTACACCGAAGAAGGTAACTTATTACAGGATTGTAAGTGTTAATCCAAGGCTCTGACTTTTTTAAACGTAGT